TTTTCCATGTAAATTTTGTGTCTCTTTTATCTTCATTTTTATTTTCTCAAATTATCAGTTGCGATTTTGCTCTATCCGATAGCCGTCTTCCGCAACAATTGGTATCAGAGCTAGATTTGAGTGTGTAATATCTGCTTATTGTCTTTGTGGTTGCCACCAAAAGGTGGATCCTCCAACATAAGAAAGTAAGAAGGTATTACACATTCTTTGAAGGTTCCAGAGAACTATTCACGATAGTGAAATAGTAGGAGCTATCCGTAAAAGAAGCTATGGCAACAAAATTTGATATTGAAAAAATTAATGGGAGAAATTTCTCATTGTGGAAATTGAAGATGAAGGCCATCCTGAGGAAAGACGGTTGTCTAGCAGCTATCAGCGAAAGACCAGTAGATTTCACAGACGACAACAAATGGATCGAAATGGACGGAAATGATATGGCAAACTTTCATCTAGCATTAGCAGATGAAGTATTGTCAAGTATCGAGGAGAAGAATACAGCTAAGAAGATATGGGATCATCTCACCAAACTGTACGAGGCCACATCGTTGCACAATAAAATTTTCCTTAAGAGAAAATTGTACACTCTCCGTATGCCAGAATCTACATCAGTGACGGAGCACTTAAATACACTGAACACTTTATTTTCTCAGCTTACATCCTTAAGCTGTAAAATAGGAGAACAAGGACGTACTGAACTTCTACTTCAAAGTCTACCGGATTCATATGATCAACTCATCATCAACTTGACAAACAGTAATGTCACCAGTCTAGTCTTCGATGACGTTGCAGCTGCTGTTCTACAAGAAGAAAATCGGCGCAAGAACAAGGAAAACAGACAAGTAAATCTGCAACAAGCAGAAGCGTTGACAACGATGACAACGATGAGAGGGAGATCAACAGAACGTGGCCAAAGCAGCAGTCACAAACATGGTAGATCGAAGTCGAGAAGCAAGAAGAATTTAAAGTGTTACAATTGTGGAAAGAAGGGTCACTTGAAGAAGGATTGTTGGAGTCTAAATAAAAACTCCAATCCACAAGGCAATACCGCAAACACTTCAGATGATGGAGATGCTCTATGTTGTGAAGCGTCAACCACCGTGGAAGGAAGAAAACGATTTACAGATATATGACTCATTGATTCGGGAGCAACATATCACATGACCTCAAGAAGAGAATGGTTCTATCATTATGAACCTGTCTCAGGAGGATCTGTGTATAGTTGCAATGATCATGCCTTAGAGATTGTTGGCGTGGGAACCATCAAATTGAAGATGTATGATGGAACAATTAAAGTTGTTCGAGATGTGCGGCACGTGAAAGGTCTGAAGAAAAATTTATTATCCTACGGATTGTTGGATAATAATGCTAGCAAGATTGAAACACGGAAAAGAATCATGAAGGTGTTCCGTGGAGCGCTTGTGGTGCTAAAAGGCGAAAAGATAGCAGCAAACTTGTACATGCTGAAGGGAGAGACTTTGCTAGAAGCAGAAGCCTCTGTTGCCTCATGTAGTTCAAATTCTGCAATGCTATGGCATCAGAAACTTGGACACATGTCAGAACAAGGAATGAAAGTCCTTGTGGAGCAAAAGCTACTTCCAGGCTTAACAAAGGTATCACTTTCTTTGTGTGAGCATTGCATAACAAGTAAGCAGCACCGGTTGAAATTCAACACATCAAATTCTAGAGGCAAAAATGTTCTAGAATTGGTTCATTCTGACGTGTGGCAAGCACCAGTAACGTCCCTAGGTGGAGCAAAATACTTTGTCTCATTTATTGATGACTACTCCAGGAGATGTTGGGTGCACCCTATTAAGAAGAAGTCAGACGTGTTTTCAACTTTCAAAAACTTCAAAGCGCGGGTGGAACTTGATTATGGAAATAAGATCAAGTGTTTCAGAACAGATAATGGAGGAGAATACACAAGCGAAGAATTTGATGACTTTTGCAAGAAAGAAGGCATCAAAAGACAGTTCACAGTGGCGAACACTCTTCAACAAAATGGAGTGGCAGAGCGGATGAACAGAACCTTGTTAGAAAGAACAAGAGCAATGTTGAGGGACGCAGGCCTAGAAAAATCATTCTGGGCAGAAGCAGTCAATACCGCCTGTTATTTGGTGAATCGAGCTCCATCAACTGCAATAGAGCTGAAGACACCAATGGAGATGTGGACTGGTAAACCAGTTGATTATTCAAACCTCCATATATTTGGAAGTATAGTGTACGTGATGTACAACTCCCAATAAATTTCAAAGTTGGATCCAAAATCCAGGAAATGCAAATTCTTGGGGTATGCTGATGGAGTAAAGGGGTATCGCTTGTGGGATCCCAATGCCTGCAAAGTGAACATTAGTAGAGATGTTATCTTTGTAGAAGATAAACTACAAAGAAAAGAAGACGATGATAGCGCTGAAAAGTCATAGACTACTCAGATACATGTGGAAAAAGAGTTTTAAGAAGGAGATTCTTCTGAAGCAGAACCAGCACATGATGAATAAGAACCAGAGAATTCTGAAGCTCCAACAACTCGTCAATCAGATCGTGTGAGAAGATGTCCCAATTGGCACTCAGATTATGTTATAGAAGGTAATATTGCATACTGCCTTTTAACAGAGGACGGTGAGCCATCAACATACCAGGAGGCAATAAACAGCCAGATGCTTCACTGTGGATGATGGCGATGCAAGAAGAAATCGAAGCCCTTCATAAAAATAATACATGAGACCTTGTGCCACTACCACAAGGAATGAAGCCAATTGGTAACAAATGGGTTTTCAAAATCAAGCGAAATGGTGACGATCAAGTTGAGAGATATCGTGCAAGACTGGTGGTCAAAGGATATGCTCAAAAAGAAGGTATTGATTTCAATGAAATATTTTCTCATGTGGTTCGACTGACAACAGTTCGTGTAGTTTTGGCAATGTGTGCTACATTGAACTTACATCTAGAGCAGCTAGATGTTAAAACAGCTTTTCTTCATGGAAATCTTGAAGAAGAAATTTATATGCTCCAGCCTGAAGGTTTTGAAGAAAAAGAAAAGAAGAACTTGGTTTGCAAGTTGAACAAATCTCTGTACGGTCTAAAGCAGGCACCGAGGTGTTGGTATAAGAGATTTGATTCTTTCATTATGTGCCTTGGATACAATAGACTTAATGCAGACCCTTGTGCTTATTTCAAGAGGTCTGGTGATAACGATTTTGTTATTTTGCTGTTGTATGTGGATGACATGTTGGTTGCAGGACCCAACAAAGATCATATTGAAGAATTGAAGGCACAACTGGCTAGGGAATTTGAAATGAAGGACTTGGGATCAGCAAACAAGATTCTAGGGATGCAAATTCACCGAGATAGAAGTAATAGGAACATTTGGCTTTCACAAAAGAATTACTTGAAGAAGATCTTGTCACGATTCAACATGCAAGATTGTAAGCCAATTTCTACCACTCTTCCTATTAACTTCAAATTATCCTCCAGTATGAGTCCTAGCAGTGAAGAAGATAGGATGAAGATGTCTCGAGTACCGTATGCATCAGCAGTGAGAAGTTTGATGTTCGCTATGATATGCACAAGACCAGACATTGCACAAGCAGTGGGAGTGGTTAGTCAGTACATGGCGAATCCAGGCAAAGAGCATTGGAATACAGTAAAGAGGATCCTAAGATACATCAAAGGGACCTCAAATGTTGCATTATGTTACGGAGGATCAAACTTACTAATTAATGGGTATGATTCTGACTATGCAGGGGATTTGGATAAAAGCAAATCTACTACAGGATATGTGTTCAAAGTTACTGGTGGAGCTGTAAGCTGGGTTTCAAAATTGCAGTCAGTTGTGGCTACGTCCACAACAGAGGCAGAATATGTAGCAGCTACACAAGCCAGTAAAGAAGCAATTTGGTTGAAGATGCTATTGGAGGAGCTTGGGCACAATCAAGAGTATGTCTCTCTGTTTTGTGACAGTCAAAGCGCCTTGCATCTAGCAAGGAATCCATCATTTCATTCAAGGACTAAGCACATACGAGTTCAGTACCATTTCATTCGTGAAAAGGTGGAAGAAGGAACGGTAGATATACAGAAGATCCATACCAAAGACAACATAGCAGATTTCATGACGAAGGCGATCAACGCTGATAAATTTACCTGGTGTCGATCCTCTTGTGGCCTGTCAGAGACGTAAGCAACATGATGGTACAAGGTAGAAAGAATGGTGTGAAGATATGATTGTTCCAATCAAATCTTCAAGTGGGAGATTGTTGAAATGTCAAAGCTTGGAAAATTGGTTCAAGTTAGGCACCTAATATTGCAATGTCAAAATTAGGTGCAACAATGTCAAAATTAGGTGCAATAATGTTTGAAAATTAAATGGGTAAATTATAAACTTTAGTCACTAAACTTTAGGGTATTTATAAGATTAGTCCTTAAGTTTCAACTATAAATACCCTAACTCATTTAGTTTCAAAACCATCCCAAAGCATTCTAGCTTTCTTCCAATACTAGAGAGAATTTAGAGAGTTTCTTGAGAGTTGTTTTCTCTTTTTTATCTAGAGAGAATTATCATTGTTTTCTCCTTGGTAGATCGAGAGAGGTTGTAATTCCTATTTTCTCATAGTGAAATTCTTTTACCGTTGCCCGTGGTTTTTACCCTAAATTTTTAGGGGTTTTCCACGTAAATTTTGTGTCTCTTTTATCTTCATTTTTATTTTCTCAAATTATCAGTTGCGATTTTGCTCTATCCGATAGCCGTCTTCCGCAACATACTCGATAGTGTAAAGAGATGAAGTAAAAGGTGTAAGAGTAAAGAGAAGCCAATGTGAGTTAAAAGGAGCTCCATTGCAATTGAAAGGGTGTGAAGTTGTTGCCTGTGGAACACTGCTTTTGTATAATTGGAATAACATGTGGCATCATTATTCATTCATTAGTAAATAAAAATGACAACAATTTTTGGGATATGGTAATAAGTTTTATTCATGATGATGATATTGACATCAGCATTTGATTTGATGGAATTAACATTGAAATTAAGCAGCAATGTTGTTGTTGTTCATCTCAGCCTTGATGGCTGAAGCCAACTGATTATAAGCTTCGCCCCATGCACCCTTCATGTCTTCACTCCATTTCTCTTCTCCCATTGCTTCGTTAACTGTCCTTAAAAGTGCTTCTTTCACCACCTGCATCATACTGATTTAAAATTGCTTCATGGGATAAAAAATGAATGAATAAATAAATAATACCTCAAAATGGGGGTCAATGACGCCACTCTTGACATGAACGGCGCCCAGATACTTGAGAGTTGTATCAGTCACAACCAGCTCGCCTTTCTCCCTCAGTTGAATGGCTGACTCACATGTCTTTTTTTTTTACACCAAACAAATATAATTATTATTTATGTTAAATGCAATATTAAGATGAATAACAAAAGAAGGGACTGACCATCTTTAAAACCTTGACAGCATGAGCTTTGAGCTTTGGATTATTCTGGGGAATCTCCTCCGTGTCTCTCAGAAAACTGAACATGTTCTTTGCAGCTGGTGCTATCTCCAATATCCTAAATTCCATCAAATTTTAAAAACAATATTCACATAAAGAAGAAGAAGAAGAAGAAGAAGATTTATCTTACAGAGAAAAGAACAGCAAGCTGAAACGAGGGATGTCTTGCTTCAGAACCTCCCATGATTCCTTCACCAAAGCTTCTTGCTTCTCTGTGAAACCCATCTCTCTCTGTCTCTCTAAGATAAGCAGGGAGTGGTGTGGTGGACCTCTCTCTCTCCTTATATAGAGATTTTTTGTTTTAAATAGGGTATCTTCCTTTCTCTTTATTTCATGCAAGGAAAAAACATTATTTATCCCCCCGAAAGAACAAAAAGTTGTAACTGTCATTTACTCATATTATAATAATATGAATTCAATACAGCTAAGCTTCATTTGTCTTTCTTTGGGTATCTTAGACGTGCATTCATGATTTTGTTCCAACTTTCAAGATTTCCTTCCTTAAATTTAATTTTTATAATAAATTTAGAGAAGAAAAGTTTTTTTTGATAATTTTAATTTTATTAATCAAGATGCAGAGTTATGCTATATAAAATATCTCATCAGAGTGATAAAGAATAACTACTTACAACAAAAAGGATGTTCAACACCCCAACGATTATAAAGGTAATTATTGATACTATCTAATCTATTTATATTCCTTAATCTTAATTAAATACCTATAATCTCCTGAATGGAAATTAGAATTTCTTTTTCACTTCTTTTGCTTCTTCCGTACAATCTTCTGTTTCTTTTCTCCCATATGAAATAGATTAAAGCTCCTGATACACCAGCTAGAATTTGTTATATCTTCCACTAGCATAAAGTCGGCATCTTTAATAACGTAGCTTTAGATTCAAGCTACCCACAATGATCCCTCTCCCGCAAGGATATTCCTGATAAGTTGTTGTAATTGTAACGCTTATAAATAATTCATTTATTTAAAATGATTACAAAGTAATATTTTTTAAAAATATTTATTAATTATACACGCTAACAAATATAATTATTTGAACTCATGACCTCTAAAAAAAATAATAAACTTTGAACCATTAAAGTCACTTTATGAGTTCAATAATTCAATTGTTTCTATTTTATAAGTCAAATATATATGATGGTTTTGTAGATGTAAAAAATAATGAGATTGATGAACAATGATCTTAGAGTTAGAGAAAAATTTCTCTTTAACTTTATATGTCAAATTATAATCTCTTTAATGTTAATATCAAATTTAAAATGATGTTAATTATTTAGAGGTCAACAAAATGAGTAAATTTTATCTTTTTATAATAGAATTAGTCGATAATGGAATTGATAGTAGCTAGATCAAGAAATTGTAACATTTTAAAAAATATAGAACTTTAAAAAAAAATTAAGAACTACAGAATTTTAATAAGCCGATGATTAATTACATATCAAAATATATTTTGTTAAAAAATATTCAAAAGAAATATAATATAATTATATAAGAACTCCAGAGTTTCGATTGTTAAATAATAATTTAATCAATAAAATGATGACACGTGATACGTTAATAAAATTTCTTTTTTTTTAAAATTCAAAGAATTTTATCCCATATAACGTAATTGGAGACTAGGTTTTTTTTCTCTTCAATAAGACCTGCTTGCTCTTCCTTTTCGCATCCTTGTTTGGCAGGTGACGTTATTCATCCATATACACATTTATTTATGTAAAGACTAACCAATTATCGGTGATGTATACTTTGAATTTTGTTCAAGCTTACTTACACGTCAGTTCAATGACAAATACAAAATATAATTTATCACACAGCTTCAAAATTTAGGGTTTTACTGATATTTACGTTTAAAGGAATAATAAATTTTTTATTTTATTATCGAGAAAATAATAATAAATAATAATAAATAAAAATTTTGACAATATCTTTAATTAACGGGTTAATCCAAATAAATCAGCGCATATTAAATCAATTTCACACATGGTAGAAATCAGGTTGCATTTGTTCTATATCCCTCGATTGTATAAACAACATTAATTTAAATGATCTTTGATTAAAAAATAAGTGCCCAGAAACATGCACCTATTAAGCCATGTATCTATATTATTCACACAACATTTAATAATTATAAAATTTTAATTAATACAAACAGAGACAATGGAGGGGAAGTGGCCTCTAAACCTCATCCATTTTAACCTTTAATTTATGAGTTAACTACACGGATGATCACTTATGTTTGTGTTTTATATACTTTTGGTCATTGGTTTCAAAAAACATAAGATATGGTCACTTTTGCTTTTATTTAATTAAGATACGGTCACACCTAGTTAACTGCTGTTAGCAATAGTTAAATATTTTGATATAATCACACATTTGATCCCTATTATTTATATATTCTCTCAATTTAGTCATGCTTTTAATAAATTAAAATAAATTTAATCATCAAATCAAATTATACCACATGTTATGCCACCATTCGGTTGGAGGATTGACTTTATTTTAATTTAATATATTTATTTTTACCAATCAAAGAGTGACACGTGTCACCCTCTAGTTGAAAGAAAACAAAGGAAAGCAAATTAGGGCAAAAAAGATTCAAACCTTGGTCACTTAGGAAACTAAACATGTATCTAACAATTAAGCCAATACCACTCCTTGGTCTAAAGTAGACAACATGGTGTATATATTTTTTATATTTTTTATTTTAGTGTATATATTTCAGTGTATAAAAAGTTTGGATACGAAACAAAGTAAAAGTAATGATTTGGTTACTAAATGTGTAGTTTACCCTAAATTTTAAAAAATATAAAAGAATTAGTATAAATTATCCTTATTATATATATATATATATATATATATATATATATCTCTCTCCATTAAAAACACACACGAAATCAATGATTTCTTACCAAAAGAGACAAAACAACTGCATATGCCCGAAGCACGTTGCACCATTCCCGCTTTCCATCACTTTCTCGAGAAAAAATCATCTCCGAAAACTTCAAATCTATTAAGTTATGGCAGATCCCAAAGCCACCTAAATTACTTTAAAAGTTATCCATCCTTACAAATCAAGGCATTTTTGACCAAACAGCTAATAAAATGATAATAATAAATTTATAAGAAAATGCTTATTTTATCCATCATCAACCATAATTTAATTTTTTTTAAAACCTAGATTCACTATGCTCTTACAATATTTATGACGAAGAAAAAAATTATAATCCCTTAATTTCAAAAAAGAAGAAGCAAATAATATATATATATATATCCGTAAATTTATTTAAATTGGAAAGGAAAACAATATAAATGAAAAGGATTTAGCATGTGTATAGATCGGATCCAAAAACCAAACAAAAACTGTCTGATTATTACAAGACTTTATGTAATTCGGTTTGAATTCCAGTGGTTGAGATTTGCGTGTAATTTCAACTCATACATACATAAAACAAACAAATAAATAAAATTACATGTAAAAACCCAGAAATAAGCATATATATAATAATTTCATGTACGTGAGCACCTTCTTTTAGAGATGGAATCATGAAAACCAGCTTCGAAAAACGCATCGACTTCATCCCTGTTGAGGGTCTCGAAGAAGTGGAATTCAGACAGCTTCCGCTTACAAGAAACAAGTGTTTTCCTAGGTTTTCTTGGCGCTCCCGGGCATGAGAAAACTGCCGGGATCTTGTTTTCCTCCGAGGTCGGCGTCGAACACTCGCTGCTACTTTCGCCTTGATTATTCTTGATTTCTTGATTGGAAGATTGAATGTTTAGTTTGGTTAAATTTGTTTTCGCCAAATCTTGGAGTGATCCAAGATCTTCAGACATTATTGTTTAGATTAAATAAAAGGAAAAAAAAACAGAAAGGGAGAAGAAGAAGAAGAAGAAGACTTGTAATGGAAGGTAAGAGAAAGGGTGAGGAAGAACGAGGGTGGGATCGTTTTATATGATTATCTAAAGACCTTTTTATTTATTTATTTTCAGTATCAAATGGATTTTCATATTGTTGAAGCTGGCTTGGGTGGGTTGCTTTCTTAGCCTTTTTTTACATCTCTCTCTCTTTTAGCTTTTTGCTTGTGTAGCTATGGAGTCGAGAGGAAGATTTCCTTTCTCTTATATATTTTCAAAAGAGAAAATCGCCTCAGTGACCAAAAATGCCTTATAATATACGATTTTAACCAACTTTTTTTGGATTTGCCAAAATGACCAACAAAATCGCAACGCGAAATAAAAATCGCAACGCGATCCCCAGAATCGCAAATCAGTTTCCAAAATCGCAACGCGATTCTTGACAATCGCAATGCGATAGTACAAATTCGCATTGCGATGTTCCAGAATCGCAACGCGAATATGAAAATCGCAACGCGAACACATAAATCGCAACGCGTATCCGTAAATCGCAACGTGTATCTGTAAATCGCAACGCGTATCCGTAAATCGCAATGCGTATCCGTATATCGCAACGCGTATCCGTAAATCGCAACGACAATACGTAAAATCGCAACGCGTATCCGTAAATCGCAACGCGATTTTTAAAGCGCCATTATAATCGCTACGCGTATTTTATTTTCAAATTACAAAAACGAATATTAAGACAAAATCCCGTAATCGCAACTCATAACCTAAAACCTAAAATCACAACTCAGTCCCATCTCCATCTCTCACTCTCTACGGCGAAATCCGTCCCCATCTCCGAAGATTTCCGTCCCCATCTCCGGCGAAATCCCTCACAACCATTCACGGTCAGAAATCCCTCACAATATTCAGAAATGGAAAATCAACCTCCGAGGGTTAGTTTTTTTAATTGTTTTTATTTTGAAATTTTTGCATTATTGTAGGTTTTTCATATTGAAACTGATGATAAGTTTACTGGTCATTTCAATAATAGATTAACCATTTCACTTAGATTTCATTTCGCGTTACGATTCTCTCGTTGTGATTTTCATTTCGCGTTGCTATTCTCTCGTTGCGATTTTCAAGTTAGTATTTGTCTTTGTCTTTGTTCTGTCTTTTGGTTGAAGTAATGCAATCCATTCAAGTTTCAATTTGCAGAAGAGTCGCAACGAGATAAATAAAAATCGCAACGTGAAAATGACTATCTGCAACGAGAAAAATGAAAATCGCAACGAGAGAATCGCAACGCGAAATGAAAATCGCAACGAGAGAATCGCAACGCGAAACCAAAATCGCATTGCGATTTTCATTTCGCGTTGCGATTCTCTCGTTGCGATTTTCATTTCGCGTTGCGATTCTCTCGTTGCGATTTTCATTTCTCTCGTTGCGACAGTCATTCTCTCGTTGCGATTTTCATTTCAACCAAAAGACAAAACAGTGTTGCAAATTTTAGTTTCAAGAATAAACTACTACTTTTTATGTTTATTGTTTTTGGTATATCTTCACAGTGTAGTTTTTGGTATATCTAACTTGGTATGTTTATTGTTTTTGTAGAAATTTTTTTCGGCTTCATTGACATTAAGGAATAAAGTTAGCCTAGCCACTACAATTGCTTCGAAGCTTTCACCTGCACAAAGACAATTGTTTGAGGAAACCTGCTTCGGGCCATGGCTGAGAGTACAGCATCCGGGTGGAGATGCTAATTTGACCCATTTGTGGCTTCAGACCATGACATCAAATCTACCCGACAGTATACAACGTGGTGAGGAAGAGATATGGTTTCATTTTCCACCAGCGTATACTTGTTTTGGGCGGAAGGAGTTCTGCTTAATCACTGGTCTACGATTCGGACACGATGATGTAGGCCGGTACACTCGTCATATCGCCCGCCCATCATGGTTATCCCGGGTTTTTCCGGATGAGTCAATGGAGAAGCCGAACCTACACGTCGACGACCTGAAGAAATTGTTTAATAAGAAAGCTGGTTTCACTCGGATGGATGACGTCGATGTTGTCCGAGTATGCCTTCTACTACTTGTGTATGCCGGCTTTTTAGGCAGAGAGGCCAGACAACCTATTCCTCGGGAGCTAATAATATTGGTAGAGGACCTGAATGCATGGAATCTGTTTCCGTGGGGTTCGTATATATGGAAAGCTACCTGGACTAAGTTGTCTACTGCCTTTGATGACCGCAAAAGTTTGCGTGGCGATGGGTCGAAATACACTTTGTCAGGCTTTGTTTGGGCCTTTAAGGTAAGAATTTCTATATAATGTTTCTAAAATTATAATTAATTATTTAACAATTACTAATTTTGTTATTATTTGTTTGTAGATTTGGATATTCGAGGCTTTCCCCAGCATGCGTACATATGCAATAAAAACGTCAAATGATATTCCCAGGGCTATTTCCTGGAAGAGGAAAAATCTGTTGGATTGAGAAGACTTAATACCATATGCGACAATAAATAATGTAAGTTAACACAAATACTTTCATATAATATATAAACAAGTTATTAATAGTAGACGTTTAACTTTGTTTGAGTTTTTATATTGTTAGGAGGCCAACATTCCATTACAAAGACTGACACCCACGGAGGAAGAGCTTGCCACTGATTGGTGGCAAGCTAGTCAGAGTTTTTTTGATGGCACGGATGATGAGCAGCATCCACTTCCTCCAATTCGAGAGCCATCACCTCACCCAGAGCCATCACCCGATCGACCCGACTATACACCTCTAGAACGAGAGCCATCACCTATCCCGTCACATCATCGAGCCTCTTCTCCACCATCACCTCATGATAGGCGACCGGTAAAGAGGCCACGACATTTATCTCCTTGTTCTCCACCTCCACGGGATGAGTTACGTGATGAGGTCAATGCCTTGCGTGAGGAGATCAGTACTCTACGCGATAACGATGGTGCATGGCATGTGGAGGTGTCAACTTTACGTGGTGAGGTTGCCGCTCTACGTGAGATGATAGTATCGTTGCAGAATGAGGTTCATACTCTACGCAACGAGGTAAGTTTAAGATTTTCCATATTTAACTTAATGATAAATTTACTCGTAATTTCACTTAGATTAGCCATTTCACTTAGATTGCTTAGTAAATTTATTCGGTTGCTGCCAATTCTGCTAAACTGTGTATTCTTTAACACTGTGAAATAGTATTTGTCTTTGTTTTGTCTTTTGGTTGAAAGTAAATTTGTTCGGTTGCTGCCAATTCTGCTAAACTGTGTATTCTTTAACACTGTGAAATAGTATTTGTCTTTGTTTTGTCTTTTGGTTGAAAGTAAATTTGTTCGGTTGCTGCCAATTATGCTAAACTGTGTATTCTTTAACACTGTGAAATAGTATTTGTCTTTGTTTTGTCTTTTGGTTGAAAGTAAATTTGTTCGGTTGCTGCCAATTCTGCTAAACTGTGTATTCTTTAACACTGTGAAATAGTATTTGTCTTTGTTTTGTCTTTTGGTTGAAAGTAAATTTGTTCGGTTGCTGCCAATTCTGCTAAACTAATACCCTGAAGTCAGTATTTGTCTTTGTTTTGTCTATTGGTTGAAGTAATGCAATCCATTCAAGTTTCAATTTGCAGAAGAAGAAATAGTTTACTTTCGCAACACGAAACTTAAAATCGCAACGAGAGAATCGCAACGCGAAATGAAAATCGCAACGCGAAACCAAAATCGCATTGCGATTTTCATTTCGCGTTGCGATTCTCTCGTTGCGATTTTCATTTCGCATTGCGATTCTGTCATTGCGATTTTCATTTCGCGTTGCGATTTTGGTTTCGCGTTGCGATTTTGGTTTCTCGTTGCGATTCTCATTTCGCGTTGCGATTTTAAGTTTCGTGTTGCGAAAGTAAACTATTTCTTCTTCTGCAAATTGAAACTTGAATGGATTGCATTACTTCAACCAATAGACAAAACAAAGACAAATATTAACTTCAGGGTATTAGTTTGAAACATATTTTTCTTTGTTATCTGATGCATTTTGTGAACTATGATAGAATAATGACTTGGGTGAATACAATGCAAGTTTGAAACATATTTGTCTTTGTTTTCACTGTTTAAATATCATGTTTGTTTATTTACTGATTTTTGTATTTAATTATTTAGCGGCCCGATAGAGTGGATGCTTTACGTCGGGTTATGCTTGCACGACGGAGTTCACGCATCAGACAGCGTGCACGTGCTATTAAGTCTCCGTACACCCCAATAGTGCGAAGACACCGCAAGAAGAAGCCCGACTCGCCTGTCATCCCTCAAGAGTCCACTCCTATCGTTGAATAGGCCCCCCTATCATTCCTCGAGAGTCCCCTCCCACCGTTCAAGAGGCCACTGTCATCATTGAAGAGGTCCCTCCCACCATTCAAGAGCCCGATTCACATGGCGTCATATGTAGGCTTCTTGAGAAACCCTCTGACGTGCCGGACATGATGGATTCAAGTTGGCTCTCGTATGAGTTACCGGCCAGTACCATACCGGTATCTGAAGAGGAGAGGAAACAACTACCGGACACAATTCTGGATAACACCCTTTGGGCTAAGACCGCAGTTGATTTTTATCTACATGAGCGGAGCCAGGGGTGTTTCACTGACATATGCAAGCTCACCGATGATATCTATTTGTTGCTTGATCGGTCTTGGTGGGGCGTATTATTAGGGGTCGAAGACAATGGCTATTTCGATGGGGGGGGTAAGTCTTATATTTTTCTTATATTTCAATTTGATTAATTTTTTTTAAAATTTATGTAAGTCACTAATATATGTCTTTTTTTGTAAAACAACATATCGATGCGTGGGTGACACGTCTTCTAATAATAAGAAAACTTAAGAAAAATAAAAATATACGATATACAATTATGCCGACGTCTTTTAACACCGTTCACTTGAAGAATGCACGAGATGAATCATTTGATTTGGGCAATGGACAAGCTAGACTTTATCCTGCATGGTGGGAGGTCGATAAGGTTAGTATTTATTTTAGATTGAGTTTAAAGGTTTTATGAAATAAGTGCGCAAATGAATGAATTATTACTTATGATTGCAGGTGTTTATCCCTGTTTTGGAACGTAAACATTGGATTCTCGTCGAGCTTCAGCTCCCATCCCTTAAGACAATAGTGTATGACAGCATGATAAATTAC